CTGCATGCCAACGTTTTTCGAGATAAATGAAAATTCTCCAAAAAGGAGTTACTGACAATTAAAGGATGCATACGTCCATTAATATCACAAGAAAGGTGCAGCTTGTCAGAAAATTAACTGCTTGCGTTTGTGGGAAGAGACAGGACAAAGCTAGAAGAAAAAGGAGAAATAAATGCTCCAACTGGGTATATGAAAAATAATTCCATATTTGCTTCCGAAAAACTACTTAACTGCGTCTCCAGAAATTTAGCGGGTGTTTTTATTTATCAGGTCTTAAAAAGGAAATTATACACTAACAATAGATGGGGAGAGTTCTCTCTCAGAAACTGCATGTGTGCTTAAGCAGAAAAAATTCCACGGTTTTACATCTTACAATACCTACAAAAAAATTTCGCAGAAATCAAAATGGATTCTAGGGAAAAAATATAAAACCTGTGTACCAAATAGACTTGAGAACCAAAAATAAAGCAAATAATCATAGTTTAAATCAAAACGTGAACTGAAAGGGAATGGGTGATCTCCTAGGGGGGAATGGAATCTTATTTAAACGTATATATTAAACTGAAAAACATGCAGTCACACGGAGAGTAAATAAATGCGGTAACTCGTACAGCTTCATAGCGCAAGGATTACAAGGATCCAGAAAAGGAATAAATAACAAATAACATCAACGATAATGATACAATCCCAGAACTGGAAGCATGGCATATCGGATTTAGAAGCGAGAACGAAAACAGGACCAAAAAACAAACTATCATAGAAATTTTAAGAACACAAATGAATATTTGATTGGACAAAAGTCCTCAAAATTAAAACATGGTATTTAAAATTGGATCAAGGGAACCCAAAATATATCAAAAAGCAATCTTGGCAGAAGAACTGTTGACCTGCGACACTCTGCCATACATAGACGCCCCACGACTGAAAGCAGTACCAAAAGTTCTCTGGCAATGGCGGTCTTTATGATGAGCTTCGAAGGATCAATTCTCCACTCCTCTCTTTGCCTCTCTTCATTCGTGCTTTCTTCTCTTCTCAAGCGATATAAGCTTTTGTGAGATGCCTTTTTAGTTGCTCATCCAAGCTCTTGAGATCAATATTGTCAGCTTCACAACACACATCACCTTCACGCTTTCCTTCAATTCTCTCCCCTCTCTAAAGACTCTCCTTTTCTCTGCCTAGAATCTAAGCTTAGTGTTTGCGTTCAGGGCACACACCTTACTCTCTTCACATGTGCCTTTTTCTTGTATATAACAATAATGTTATCATAAAGAGAAAAAAGGAAAAGGTATCTCAGAAGTTTGACAGCTTACTTACGGAATGGATTTGCATGTAGGAAAGTAAATGAAGGATCTCATGGGCCCACCTTTGGGCCTCTAATTATGCCAGCGCGGCCCTACCCGGCATAATGCTTAGAAAATAAGAGAATAGATATATATGAACTGTGCTAGGCTTCTACACTGAAAATAAGAGAGGCAAAAATTAAGGGTATTGTAATTCGATAGACAATTTAATGGTTATGTTATTTTTTTTTCTTGATTTTTCAGGTAGCCGTATATATATTGAATGTGACTAAAAATGATAAATAAGTAAACTATAGTGCTGAGTTTTTCAATAGTAGAACCGATCTCATCTGCGTTGTTTTGGACAACCAAACTCTGAATTGGCACTCCCCTTCATATTCCCGCAGGGAAGGATTAATTGGATATATTGTTGAGATCCCTCTATGCTGTGAAAATATCTGTCCTCCCAGCCTAAACTAGTCTGCCATCTAGCATGCACATCTTGCATGCTTATTGTAGTTGCATAGTGGATTATAATAAATGTATTTTTATATATGAAGGTATGTTGCAGATCTGGTCCGCTTTGGAGCTGTGCATTATGCATTGGTGTGCCCGAAGCCACCACCGAGTGCGAGTCCTGAAGAAGTTCAAATTTACAGAGAATTTACACAGCCAGCAGTTCTTCGGAAGAGACCATCCATCAAAGGTAAAACTTTGAGGGAAGCGCAGAAGACATTTAGGATAACAGATGTAAACGAGTTTGTTGAAACTGGCACTTATCTTCGTGTGCATGTGCACCCGAAACGTTTTCCAAGGTAACATTTTTTTCTCTTCTTCTTACCTGTATCTTAATCTTATGTCATATTGTTATGTTATTTATTGTTCGTCCCTAACTTTCATCTTTGACTAAACGCCTAGCAGTATCTATTTTGTCAGTATTCGTAGCAACGTTGGTGGAAAATAGCATGTTATTCATACTGCTTATGTAAATAATATCCTGAGCTTGCTTACCGATGTGGACAAACTTTTCAGGTGTTACGAAGTTGACTGGAAGTCCAGAATCATTGCAGTCACTGATTTATATGTGGTCCTTGATAAACCAGCTGCGATTTCAGTATGTAGTCTCTTGTTTGATAACATTCTCATCTCCTAATTTATCGTATTGGTCTTCATCTACTTAGTGGTTTTCTTAGTTGTTCTGGTGTTTACATGGTGTTGTTCACTTGTTTCTTTGGAAGAATTATTATTATGAATCAAAAAAATCTCTTTGGGGTTTGATCATTTGAGGCTTTGTGCTACTAAAATACTTTTTTCTGATTTTTCTAATAAACATTCCTAAGGTCTTTAATGCCCCTAAATGCTAAGGCATTTAGAATGTCCAACCCATACTATGAACAGATAAACGAAGATCTGCAACAGCAACATCTTTTTGTTAATAGTTGATTGCATTCTCCACATTTGATTGGGAAAAGTAAGAAATTAGAGATTTTAGAATCAAATTTTTTTTACGTAGATTCAGAAGCTCTTAAAAAGCATGACTTCTAATTTTTTTTATTTGAGAAAGACCCATAGTCGGCGGCAAAAGAGGGACATCACCAGATGAAACAGGGAGAACTGCTACCTAGAGGGAAGATTTAATAAGAGATAAATCACCGTGAGCCTCCATGAAGCCTCATGCTTTGTAAATTTGATTTGTTCCATAATAAATCTATAGTAGCATGCTCTAACATATTTTGCATGTGAAAATGTAATTGTCCACAGTAAATGGATTGATCTAAATGTAAAACTTGGGGAGCGGAGTATTGTATTATTTGAGATTAGCTGACTTAATAGGATTTGTAGATGTTTGTCCTTTTAGAATTATATTGAATCTCAAACCCCTTATTTGAGGCAGTTTTTTCTTTTCATACCATCTTGTTGTATGGAGTTTCCTACCTCGTCCACCTTAACTATGTTTTATGCACTGGTGGATTCCTGTACCATATTAGCATGATTTACATACCGAATTTACATTTTGAAATATATGCGACTAAATTCTGTTATGATGAATTGCTGATTTCTTTATAATACATTGATACTCTTAGCTGGCTAATTATCACTTATCTGTCCAGTGGACGGGCACAAGGTAGTTACTATAAACAAGGCTATATTTCTGTGACATCAACATGAAAGTTCACGAAGTTAATGCATACAACATTATTTTCTAAACACACATGGCATAGTACTATTATCGAGTAGTATAGAAGGGATATACTTCTGACCATTAGGTTGTCATTTTAAGTCTGCAGCTTTACATCTTCAACCTTCATCCCACTATGAATTCATATTAAGTATGTTTTATTGTTATTCTTTGACGATACTCTAGGTAGGAGGAACAACGGATAACATTGAGGAATGCTGTGCAACATTTGCTTCTCGTGCCCTGGGACCAGAAACTCCTTTGTGGACAACCCATCAGATAGATAACTGTACTGAAGGATGGTTTGTTTTCTAAACTCTATTGATTCTCACTAATCAGAATACAAACTGCTAATGTATTAATATTGCAGTGTGGTATTTGCCAGAAACAAGGATTTCTGCCCTGCTTTTCATGGAATGATTAGGGTATGTCCATTTATTATTATGTAGTATATTTTTATGGGTAAATTTCACAAAGCTTTGTGAACTTTGTTGGGTTTTGCACAAAACGGCTCTGAACTTTATAATTTATAGAAAACCCTCCGAACTTGTCTCACTTAAATATCATGACTAACTGCACTCACTGTAAGTTGTCACGTGTTCAGAGGACATTCTGGGGGACACGTCTTTTTTTTTTGTTTCGGGGGTGGGGGATGTGGGGTCCATGTAATTTTGAAATTTCAAGGGGTTTTTCCTATGGTGTACTAAGTTGTAGTACAGTTTTGTGCAAAATATCCCAAAGTTCAGGGGGGGTTGTGAAATTTACCTTTATATTCTTTTATTAAGTTTCCTACTAAATAATGTGCTACACAATTAGAAGAATCTGACTTCTTATTTAAACAATATCTAAAGAGTTAATCATCCTGTCGATCCTGATCGGAACTATAAGCATGGATTTCAGGACAAAGAGGTGAAAAAGCTCTATCTTGCTCTTGCTGCTGCTCCTGTGCCAGTTGGAATAATTTCTCACTACATGCGCCCAGTTAATCGTGCTCCGAGAATAGTTTCTGAAGGTACTTTTGGAATGTTTACCTAATAATTTACAAATCCTTAGCTGTCCTATGCAATATTTATTTTCTGCAGAGATTTCTTCCACCATTTTTATGATAAAATACATGCGCGTACCTATATGGTCTCCTGTGTAGGAATTTGATCACTAGTTGATGAAGGACAATTTCTTTTGGAAAATCATGAAGAAGAGATGAAAGAACATGAAGGGGAAAAATGGTAAAAACTTAGAGGTTTGATTTTAATAATGTTAGGCAGTTAGAGTATAAAATTATAGCCCGCAGCCCTCACCACAATTTCAGATTTGTGGTGTAGTGGCAGAGACTTTTGACAAATAAAATTTTTCATGTAGACTTATGTTTAAAAGATTACTTGCAACTTATGAATTTTAATTGATCTAGGAATCCTTTCTGAATGTAAAGCATTAGGAGAGTTCTTGTTTTAGTACGATTAAATGTCCTTCTAATTAGGGATTACTTTCTTGGGGATTAAGTGTTCAACTAGTTTTTCTTCAATAAGTACATGATGAACATGTTAAAAAAATTATGATTTGTTTTCGACTAGTTTTTCTTCAATTATGACATGATGGAAGTATTATAAAATTGTGATTTCTATAGTTTTTCTGATGTAATATTGGGTGTGAAAAAGGTGGATCCTTAATTGACATGGGACCATTCATTTAGGCATGAGGCCACTGATCCAGGCATGGGACCAAAATCTTAAATTTCTTCTCTATTCTTTATGTTCCTTGGTCGCTTATTTTTAAGTCTCTTATTTGTTTATTTGCAATATTGGTCTTTAATATGTTAGATGCATGGTATGTTCTTCATTTGGGTGATACATCACGCATGTGAAAGGGCATGGATTCCTATATCACAGCTTAATTTTATTATCTTGCTCATCTGTTCCTACTAATCCTTATTGATTTAGCATTTCTAGATCCTATTGATAGTTGGCATCTCTGTCAACTAGAGGTGCTAGAATGCAAGGAGGTCCCATGGCCAAATGCTAATACTGACAAGAACTACAATATTGATGACTGTGGATGGCCTTTGAAAACCTCTGCATATGAATGTCGAATCAATCTCATAACAGGAAAAACTCATCAGGTGCATAATCTTGATATTTTCTATTTTTTTTTCTTTTCTTTTTTTCCGATTGCTACATGTAGGTGGCACTGGCTATGTTTGGATGTTAGTATTGTTAATTTCAAGAATCCATTTCCACTTCTTTTAATTGTTAGCATATTGTTTTGGAATGCTGCTTCGGAGGTATAGATTCCCGAAATTTTACAGACGATTGGATATATTATGAATTTAAGGGGCTGTTTGGTTGGATGGAAATAGAGCTGCAAATGTAATAGAGCAACCAAATTTATAAATATATTGTTTGACTTAAAACTTTGTAATTAGAAAAAGTAAATGAACTTGCATTTGTAGAAAAAGGTGCAGCAAATACTAAGGCCAATCTGGTGAAAAACTACAGGCTTAAAAAAGGGAATCAAAAATAATAATTCCACCTCATCAAAAAATCAGTTTAATCCAAATAGGAAAACCATCAACACCCAAGTTTTCTTATGTGTCAAAATCTTTTAGCTTTTACCTAATTGTTTTTCAACCAAACACTAAGCTTGTATTTGGAAATACATTTCCTACAATATAATTATAAATAACAAGAACTTGAATTTGAAGTTGATTTCCAGCAACAAATGCTGCATGCAACATTTGTTGCCGCAACATTTGCTACAATTTATTTTTTTCAGCAATCCAAATAGCCCCTAAAAATCTAGATTAAATTATTGTAAGACACTTAGTCCTTTTATGGTGGGTGGGTTGGTAGGCATTTTCAAATTTGCATGTAAAACTCATATATAAAATAAAAAAAAAACTTTGCTCCCCCAGACCCAAGCTATCTAAACGCACTAAAGAAGTTAGTAACAGTTTGAATTAACCCATTGTAAGGTAAAAGCTAATTTAAATTTCGAACAATAAATTGTACCGAGTGAATTCCCATTACATACTATACTTTACAATATTATATTATTATTTCCAATAAATAAACACTTGCCCACCCCCAAGAAATTTTTTCTAGATTCGCCACTGTGCGCTCGTGTTTTCCTCTCTTTGTTGAACTCCTTATTCACCGGATTGCTTCAGCATCTAATGTAGTTTTAGGGGATCTTGGGGTTTCTGATTCCGTAGAGCCCTTATCCACAAATTGCTTAAGCAATATTATATTATTATTTCCAATAAATAAACACTTGCCCGCCCCCATGAAATTTTTTCTAGATTCGCCACTCTGCGCTCGTGTTTTCCTCTCTTTGTTGAACTCCTTATTCACCGGATTGCTTCAGCATCTAATGTAATTTTAGGGGATCTTGGGGGTTTCTGATTCCGTAGAGCCCTTATCCACAAATTGCTTAAGCATCTTCTCACTCATCGTCAGATGCATCTTATGTACTTGGTGGTTACCCATTTATACCCCCTGAACATTTTTATTAGCACTTGCAACCCCGAATCTCAGATGACTTTACTTTTCTTCCCTTGATTTGGAAGGTAATTTAACTTTTCCTCCAGTTAAACTGAAGGCATAATGTAGTTTCTAGTCTGTCACATCTCAACCTACCTTGAAGAGTATTGTTGTCTTGAGTTCAGGGGGTGCAAGTGCTGAAAAATTAGTTTTAGAAGTACTGTCATAGTCCATGGGTTGCATCTGCAATTAACCCAATTGTTTAAGCATCTTCTGACGTATCAACTTGCATATGACTTCAACAATTCAACTTTCAACCTAAAAACTATTATCAGTAACAGACTACAGACTGCTTTTTTTCATGGAAATAATCAAAATAGGAAGAAAAAAAAAAGAAACTGTTGATTATATGGGGAAAACATTTTCCCTTATTAATACTTGTTTTTAACGCAGATACGAGCACAATTTGCTGCCATTGGTGCACCAATTGTCGGTGATTCAATATACACACCAGCAGCCATGGCACAAATTGAGAATCCTCATATCAATCCAGTTGGCGCTAGCAAAAGAGAGTATACAAGTGAAGAGGATAAAGAAAAAGCTATTGAAGAATGGGTTTCTTGTCATGGAAAAGAACCAAACACCGCTATCGGTCTCCAAGCTTCTCAAATATCATGGGATGGTGGCAAGGTTTGTTATGAGGCGGGAACTCCATGGTGGAGGCAAAGAACAGATGGAACTAGTTCAGCAGAAAGCTTATGAGTTTTTCAGTTGAGATGCTGTTGTTTGTTAATTGTTATAGATTTTGTTTATGACCTTGAATGTTAGGTGTTTATTATCTGATTTCTTTTTGTTTTCTTTGGTGGTCAAGTTTTGCTAGAGGAAGTTAATTCATTTGTTATGTTTTTTACATCTCAAGAGATGTTATCTATAAAAAGGAATTCTTTGTTTGTCAAAATTTCTATAAACTCGTTAAGTAGTCATAGCTGGTGATTTGAGGAAGGAAATTTTTAGCAACTCAAGTTTTATGACCTCTTTCAACTAATGTCCTCTTAAGTCTAAAATCCTACAAGACAGGGCAATCTTTTTTATTAACCCCATAAATCTACTTTTCATTGTTGTAGAACATACTTTGAAGATTTGCACAATTATAGTAAAAAAGAGTAAAATTTTAATCTTCATGCTCATATTCATATGCATATTCATTTGCCATTGTACTACATAATAATTATTTTTTAATAAATTTCTAAATCAAATGTGAATTATTTAATAATTTTTTTTACTAAGTTGTATATTTAAATATGTTAAAATTAAATATATTAGAACTTCATTTCAAACATTTCTCAAATTGAACAAATTTTCAAAATAGACTCAAATCAACTTTTAATTACCAAAATCGACCCATTTTTTTTAATTACCAAAATCGACCCACTTTATACCACGTAAGCTTAATCACATTTCCTAATTAGTCGGGGTTACCAACCCTGACTGTTTAGGATATTAAAAATCGGGTTTAAGGTTTCTAATTAGGGTTTAACAATCTCCTAAACAGTCGGGGTTTGTAACCCTGACTAATTAGGAAATGAGATTAAGCTTACGTAGCATAAAGTGGGTCGATTTTGGTAATTAAAAAAAAATGGGTCGATTTTGGTAATTAAAACTTGGTTTGAGTCTACAGTGAAAATTTGTTCTTCTCAAATTATATTTAAATTATTTAATATTAAATATTAAAAGTTAAAATATTTAATACTTTAAACATTAATATTTTACAATTTAATATAATATTTACTTTTTTTTGGGGTAAGTAAGTAATTCTTCTTATTACCAAGTATCACTGAAGTCCAAACAAATTGTACAAGCTCCGATTTGATTACTCACAAGCCGAGGATAAAACAAGCACTCAAAACAAAATCTCTGGAAAAACAAACCACTCAGATAAAGAGAAAAGAAACAATCCTATACCCATAGCTATACTAAACCTGAAGCACAAAAAGTAGGATTTATACACATTGCTTCCTTTTAATCTCTTTCTGTTTTGCATGCATCTTTCAATCTAGTGTTTATTTTACTCCGAAACACCGCCCCGTTACAAGCAAACACGCCATATGCAGTAAATACAAGCAGCTCCTGCTGCTCTTCTAATGCAAGAAATTGAAGAACTTCCCCTGCGTAATCTATCACTCCAGGCCTTTTGACAGGGACGTTTTGGACTTGAACAAAAGCCCTTGTTTTGAGTCCAAATTTGTGAGCTAAAATTACATTCAACGGACAGATGGTTTCTATCTTCAGATCATGTAATCCACACATAGGGCATGTATCCTCATTCAAAAAGTTTGTCTAAAGAAGTAACCCATGCAACAAATACATGCTTCGGAATGGCGTACCTGCTCCAAATCTGCTTAGCCCAAAATTTCCTTTCTCCAGCCTCAGTAAGCATATAGTAGTAAGTAGAAGCAATTGTATGATCAGGTATGGATCCTTTCCAGATACTTGCATCACCAGAGCAATCCACACAGTGCGACGTACGTAGTACAAAACGGGTCTGTCCAAACGGTTATTGGAACCGTTTGGACCAGTCAAAATAGCCCATTTATCCACTTGACCCGTAGAGAATCAGCTTTAAGATCAGAGCCCAAACATGCTTCATCAAGAGAGATTTGTCAAAAAAGAACAGGATATTATGCAAGCCAAGCCCTCCTTGATCTTTAGGTTTACAAACTTTGTCCCATGCCACTTTGGATTTATGACGATTGTTAGGATTAATTCCTACACATTTTTTCCACCATTTTGATCACCTTTTTAGGGAGCATGAAAAATCCTTCCTCAGTAATTTAGCACACTGTAGTGGGCAGATTTAATTAGTTGGAGCCTTCCTGCAAAAGACGAAATAAGCCTAGTGTTGTGCTCTGATACCACGCGTGCTCGACAACCAAACGAGTCGGTGAGCGATGAGAGAAGAAAACAAAAACCAAACACGAGTGCAATTCACAAAATAATGATCAAAATCATACACAAACACAGGAATTTACGTGGTTCGGCAATTGCCTACGTCTACGGGGAGAGGATGGGGAGATTTCACTATATGGAAGAGAAATACAACGTGTTACAACTCAGAAAATTACTCAAATATAACCCTAACCAAAGCTCTCAACTACCTCACAATATCTCACTCTCAAAGTGCTCAAAACAATGCTAATTCTCTCCTTTTGAAACCCTAAAAAACGTGATTCCATTTATAACAAAACACAATTCCAAATAGATTAGGATTCTAAAAACGAGTCTGCCACACCCTGGTGTGGCACACACCACACCCATGGCAAACAGGGTAGATTCTGCCACACCAGGGTGTGGCAGACACCACACCCATGGTAAACAGGGTAGTTCTACAACCGGTGTGGCAGACACCACACCAGGGTGTGGTGGAGTCTGTTTTGCTTATTCTTCACGTTTTTCTCAATTCCTTCGTCGTTTTCATAATTCTCCACCTCAACGAAGTCCCAACACTGAGCCGACACCAACATGAGCACCAATGCGTCATCTCTCCAAACTCGACTGCACCAATGTGGTTGCCTACGTACCCCCTCTCCCAAGGGATTAAGCCGCCCGTCGTTCATCCAAATGGCCGTTAACGACCTCAACAATCATGAATGTGCAACAAGTTTTGACAATGATCAAACTTGTTGTTCGGAACCATCTTAGTGAGAATATCCATCGGATTATCCTTCGCGTGGACTTTCACAATCTCCACATCACCATCTTCAAGAACATCCCGAACGAAGTGATAACGAACGTCAATGTGCTTCGTCCTCGCATGAAAAACCCGATTATTCGCCAAATAGATAGCACTCATGCTATCACAATAAATGGTGACGGACTGCTGTGATATACCAAGTTCCTCCAAAAGTCCCCGAAGCCAAATAGCCTCCTTCACAGCCTCTATAATCGCCATATATTCTGCCTCCGTTGTAGACAAAGCCACCATCGACTGTAAGGTGCATCTACAACACACCGGCACACGGGTCAAAGTGAACACATACCCCGTTGTAGACCGACGCTTATCCAAATCCCCGGCATTATAATCCGAATCAACATAGCCAATGCATAGCTGCCCACCTATAGTATCCCGCTCATAAAGCAAACTAACATTGAGCGTACCTCTAATGTACCTCAAAATCCATCTCACAACGTCCCAATGACCCACTCCTGGATCATGCATATATCTCAAAACCATGCTCATCACCTGTGACAAATCCGGCCTCGTACATACCATCGCGTACATCAAGCTCCCAACTGCACTCGCATATGGAGTCTTCGACATCAACTCTCGATCTTCAACTGACTTCGGTGAAAGACCAGTTGAAAGCTTCAAATGGGCTCCCAATGGTACACTAACTGGCTTCGTATCCATGCTAACATGAAATCGCTGTAGAACATTCTTCAAATAAGCCACCTGTGTTAAACAAATTCTGTCATTTTTCTTGTCTCTGCCGATCTCCATCCCTAAAATGCGTTTGGCCTCATCCAAGTCCTTCATCTCAAACTCATTTGAAAGCTGAACTTTCAACTCATCTATAGCCGACCTGGAAGTAGAGGCAACCAACATGTCATCGACATAAAGCAACAAATAAATATACGCACCTCCTCTTAACTTGCGAAAATACATGCAAGGATCAAACTGGCTCCGAGTATACGAATGTCCAAGCATAAAACCATCAAATCGCCTATACCACTGTCGAGGAGACTGCTTCAAATCGTATAGCGATTTCTTTAACCTGCAAACCAACTTATCTTTCCTTGCAGCTCGGAATCCCAATGGCTGAGTCATATATATTTCTTTATGAAGATCACCATGAAGAAATACCGTCTTCACATCCAACTGATCTAACTCTAATCCATACTGTGCCACTAAAGCTAGCAAAATCCGAATCGAAGAGTGCTTCACCACTGGAGAAAAAACCTCATTATAGTCAATACCTTCCTCCTATGCATAGCCCTTCATAACCAACCTAGCTTTGAACCTCAATGGAGTACCCTCAATTCCCTCATTCTTCGTGTATACCCACTTGCAACCAATCGCCTTCCGCCCATTTGGAAGCTCAACAAGCTCCCATGTATCGTTCTTATGAAGAGACTCCATCTCCTCCTGTATAGCTACCTGCCACGAATCAGCCTCCGAACTCTGCTCGGCCTCTCTGAATGTAGTAGGCACAATCTCATCGATACTCTCCATCGGAAGTGCATACACAACTATGTTGGCATACCGTGCTGGCACCCGTATGTCTCTCCTCTGTCTCCAAACCGTAATAGAATCCTGAACATGAGCCGTCGGTCCCTAATCCTGCACATCAGTACCTGTATCCTCCGTGTTACCTTCGCGCTCACCTGGCGTCACCTCAGTCGACACTCTAATGGATACTGCACCATCTGGACACTGTGGAATTGCATCGATCTCCACCACTTGTGATATCTCCTCTGCTGGGTCGCTCTCCACCTGATGAGAGCTGGGAAGCTTCAAGATAGAAGCTTCATCGAATGTGACGTCCCTACTCAGCACAATCTTCTTATCAATTGGATCCTAAAGCTTGTATCCCTTGACACCACGCTTGAATCCTACAAATATGGCCTTCCTAGCTCGAGGTTCCAACTTATTAGTTCTAACATGATAATATGCAGGGCAACCAAATACCTTGAGCTGGTCATAGTCATGTGCTGTCTCTCCCGACCACATATCCATAGGGGTTTTCGCCTCAATCGCAGATGAAGACAACCTATTAATGAGGTGGCTCTCATATGAAAGTGCCTCAGCCTAAAAGATCTTCTCCAAACCACTATGCGCTAATAAGCATCTGACCTTTTTTACTAAAGACCGATTCAGCCTCTCTGCCATCCCATTTTGCTGTAGTGTATGACTAACTGTGAAGTGTCACTCTATGCCCTCGTCTCGACATAGCTGCTGAT